TATTTAGGCTTGTATTACATTTTCAGCGTAGTACATGCCCTCCCAAATTTATCGGGAGTTCCACTCTGTTCTTACCTTTTAAAAATTAGTCTCTCCATACAATTTAAATTTAATTGTACATTTAAATAAACGTTTTTAAAAAACAAAAATCTTAAATTTTTTTATTCACTTCTTTTCCTACCTTTTCTTATAAATTTTCACTTCAATAGAAGGTGTTAACTTGCAGAAACAAAACAATGCAACAACCAAAACAAAGACAGTGTTGCGGGTGCTGAGCAAGCCATTGACTTTGAGGTAAACGTCAGCGCCTTCCTGGTGCAGATCTCCTGTTACCTTTTTAAATTCTGCTGAGCCTGCTTCAGTAAAGTGTCGAAGTCTAGTGCATGAAATTTGCCTTTAGCAGGCAATGAATCGTACTCTCTGTTGGAATCTGAAATGAGAAACGAGGGGGAATGAATTTAAAACACATGAAGAAAACAACTTTTCTTGTATGTAGAGCTTGAAGACATGCCCACCCAGGTCAGAATAGCTGGACTGACAGAACTGTCTCCTTCCACCAAAACACAGATCAAAGGGCAGCTCATCAGGTTTGCGCAGCTTACTTCCATTCTCTATGGCTGTAAAAGCATCCTTGGTGTCGTAAAATGTCACAAACCCGTAGTTATCCCTGTGGAAAAGGACAAAATAATAAAACTTTTTTTCAAACGTTTAAATATGTTCAGAGAAAACAGCAACGATTGTTATCCAGTTTGATAATATAGCTTGCTTTTAAAAGAACGGCCTGGGGGTGTTGCCAGGAAGCCCCAGTTATGAACAAGCCTTTGCTTTAGCACTGAAGCTTGGCCTCAGAGGTCACAGAGAAGACCAATCAGGTTCAAAGTCAGTGCAATATTCTCATTTTAAATCATTATTATGGGAGCAAAAAAGATAAATGAATAAGACTGTTTCACTCCAGCTGTAGACGTACTAACCCGTGGTCTCTGAAGTGAAGGGTRCACTCCTCAATTTCACCAAAATAAGAGAATCGCTCCCTGAGTTCTTTTTGGGTCATCGTTTCCCGAATTTTACCAACATAAACAACACGACGCTCCTCCTAAGAAAGTATTTCATCATATTAGATACAGTAAATGAATTGTCGTGTTATATATATATATATATATATATATATATATATATATAATCTGCAAAATAAGCCCTAATCTATTGGTAATTTTACAGCAAACAA